AAAAAAAACCCATAGTCTTTATCCAAGTAATAACAATGTTGACACCATTAAATTAAACACGCAACAATGAAGTAAACGGAAATTATAACACCATTTTGGATATGTATTATCTCTTTGGAAACTGCCTTACAAGATGTTTTCGTCCGGAATAAGAAACAACATAAAAACTGCTTTCAATTCTCCAAAATCCCCCCCTTCTAAACTAATTAGTATTATAAGGGTGAGTGTTATGTTTTATAATTCAGATTACACTAGAATGTAAAACAAGGGTCATTGGACGGGAGAAGGCCTCCAATATCAATATTAGAGAGCGCACCCCCCATCCAATGGTTATGATTGTGCAATTTAATACAATCCAAACCGCACAACACTTTTTCCGATTAGGATTAGCCAAAAAAGCTGGAAAACAAAATGGAGCAGAAGATAAAATGAGGACACAACATCAAGTTGTTCAACCGTGTCATACATCTGGCCAGTCATCCATAGGCTGCTTACACATTCTTCTTTTCTGCCTACAACATATTAAAGGAAAGAAAGAAAATAAAAAAAAAATAAAAAAGATGGAGAGACAGCAGTTAAGCACTTTTCAGCTTGCAAAAATATCACCATTTGGGAGTTAAAAAGGAATGCAATTAACACTACTACAAGGCGATAGCAGTTAAGCACTTTGTCAATATTACATACCTTTTGGAAGTTCGTGAGAAGCTCCTCAGCCATGGGAGAGCCCTGAACCAAAAAGTTCATCACTTCTGGAGGAATATTGTTGCAACTCTGTCATCGTCTCACTACTTTCAATGACTCCAGTTTAGAAAAGGGAAATGGTTGTTCTTACAAGCAATCTGGAATGCTGTGAAAGAAACTTCAAAGTACAACAGACAATTTTAAATTCTGGTTATGGAAAAACAAAACAAATAATTAGCTTTTAAGAAATTAAAAATTATTGGATATTAAGCATGTCAAATAAGATTCCATTCCAAATATCCTTAACAAAACCTAATGATACAGTAAGTGATCTTCCATTACCAAGCTGCTGCAACATATTAATCAGAAACATAAAGGAACCTTCCTCCCGAGTACATGGAAAGTCATAATGCAACATGCTAAGGTTCACTTTTCAAGAATGGGAGAATTATCCATTGACAACAACACTGGTCCGTCACATGTGAAGCTGAAGGAGGTCAGTCTTAGTGCAGAGATTACAACCTTCAGTTTATCTATGGAAGCAAAATCCCACTCATCAGGTTCACTTGCAATAAAATATTTAACATTGGACATTGCCGAATTGACTAGCCTAGGAGTTATTATATTGAAAACAGTCGAGAAGACTACAAGAACATCATCCAAAACAATATTCTCCAGATTCATACAGCTTGAAAAGTGATCAAAGCAATGACTTTTGTTGTCCAGTGTAATGTCGCAAAGAGTCAAAGTCTTCACTGATGCCAGACCAATTGAGTTTGGTACACCATTGTTACCAAAATGAGAAAGTTTGAGAACCCTTAGAGATTGACAGTTGAAGATCCTTTGAGGCAGTAACAAGCAATTTCTAGAGCCACCAAAAGACAAATCAAGCATCTCACCATGAGAAATGACAAAGTTCATGATTCTATCCAATAGGTCATCCCCTAGAATGCCTCTATGTGCACAAACACTGAGTCCAAGGATGTTATTGGGGTAGCGGTGGTGCACAACATAGGCTACGAATTTTGGCAAGTTATCCAGGTTAGTAAAGCACTTGCTGTCAATATAGATAAACTGGAGATGAGTCCAAAGACGAACCCTTCTCTTGGACAAAATGCAGGTTTGAACTGCATATTTGGTGTCCATAAAGGAAAAAAAGTGATGAATCAAACAATCCAGTAAACTGCTTAGCCAATCAATCCAGGTTTCTTCATGTCCTTTAATCTTCTTTCCTTTCTTCCTCTTCATTTAGGGGTTCTTACTTCTTCTGATGCAAAAAAGCTCTCCTATCCTGATTAGTAAATTCCTAAAACGGGTGCAAAACACACAAAATTATTATTCAAACGAAAGACAACCAACAAACATATAAAAATGATTTTTCAAACCTGCATCACATTTTTTCTTCTTATAAATTTAACAAAAGCATGTGTTGTATAGTCCAAACTGTTTTGGACCTTAAAACACTTACCCTCAGATGAGAGAAGGCCCTTGATATTGGACTCTCCCCATCTAAGAGTCTCTATTTTACAGTTTGGAACAGTTCATAAAACAGCATACTCTAAATTTAAATAGAAAAAAAAAAAAAATTCCCTCCGTTCATTTTTCGTAGTCACAATTTGATTATGACTTTTTGACTTTTCAAAACTAAATTTTATGTGAAAATTTAATATATTATATAAATAATAATTGAAAATTTGTTTATCAAATAAAAGTACACAAGAACTTCATATAAAAAGAAAAAACTTTTTGATTATTATTCAAATAATTTGTTAAATTTTCATATTAAATTCATATTTGAAAAGTCAAAAAATCAAATTAGATCTACTACAAATGAACAGAAAGAGTATACCTCACAATTTAGAATATAATTCAGACCTCAGACAAGGCATTAACAACAGATAAACCCACACCGTGCAATCCACCAAACACACCATACCCACTGCTTGAACCACCAAACTTGCCACCAGCATGTAAGACCTGTACCATATGATAGCATATATAACTTGCATCAGAATAAAAAATACCTCTAAGTAATAATGATAATAAACTGATTGGTTAACATCCATAGCCTCTTAGCTCCCAAGTAATCTTCTAAAGTAAAGTAAGAAGTCTGAGGATAAACTAAGTCAAATTTCTATCATTCAAAGAAGAACAAAGTACTGTTGTTTCATAATTTAAATTCCATTTTCTTGAAAGCTAACTTCTGTTAAGTTCCTTGAAAACTTTCAAAATCAGTGTATTTGTCACAATTACATCAAAGAAGAATATCTACTTCATTTAAGGCATTCATCAATTAGTTCTCACTTATAACCCATGATTTCCTGTCTCATAGATATTCAAAGGAATTAGAAAGGTCAAAACAGTGAGAAATAATATGGTGACTCCACCTATAAGCTCAGTCCCAGAGAGTCAAAGATGTGGTTCCTCAGAATCAAAAGCATCCTAAGAACTTTAAAAACATAGTTTCCAATCAATTTGCAGTTTTGTATATCATAGACAGAGTTGAGAATATTAAACTTCATTCACAATGAAGACAAATAAGATGGATTATTTTGTTTATTTTAAAGTACTAACCTCTTAACCAAAATCTAAAATATAAAATGCCTACTGAAAAAACTAGATAACTCTCACACAGTGCAGCAAGCCTCTACATAAAAAGTAAAAATGGAAATTATTACCCAATCATACCGTCAATACAGTCTCCAAGGAAGATTTTTTTGTCACAGGATGCAAGTCAGTAGGAATCTGCAATTTACAAGAAAAACAAATTAAAAGAACAGTAATAAAAACACAACAAAAGCACAACAAAGTGCCTAGTTCTTCCAAAGGAATACCACGAAGAAAATTTTCTATAAACTAGCATTGGAGATTGAACCTTGAATAGCAACAAAGTTCAGAGCATGTACTCTCATTATGCCAAGATGCAGAAGAGGACAGGGAAAGCTAAGGAGGCAGCAGCTAATGCTAATATGACACGATAAGGCATCCATGTCAACATAGACAATTAGAATAAAGCTCTCTGCACATACACCATGTATGCATGATAAGGCATCCATGCTCATATACCATGTGTAATTATCAATAACTACCAAAGAAGTAGATTGATAAGGCATACATGCAAATATAATAAGCATTATGTATACAATGAACAGTATCATAGGCGTATAGAAATCAGAGTGTTGAACAAATCAAGGCATACTTAAGAGAAACACTTGAATTAGAATATCTAAAACAACATTTGAAGTAAACATGACTTTCTGCATGCATTCAACAATACATAGCATAAAAAGGAACATAATAGGTGCAAAAAGTTATAGAAGAGAGGACACACCCCTCACCCATTGTCAGCTATGCTCACAGAACCATCTGGATGCAAAATAACATCCATGTGTGTGGCATAACCTGCTTGTGCCTCATCAATGGCATTATCCAATATTTCATAAACCTAAGGGGAAGAACCATTAACCCAAAATAAAAGGTTTTGTTTCTTCATAGGCTAAGATAAACCATCAGAACAACAATAATTCTAAAAAATGATTAGAAAAACAAGTTACCAAATGGTGCAGACCACGAGGTCCTGTACCTCCAATACACATTCCTGGCCTTTTTCTAACAGGGTCTAAGCCTTCCGGTACCTAAACAAGATAAAGACAATAAAACCCCAATCTCCAACAAGATTTCACAGCGACTTTCAGTCAAAGTAGCCATGTCTGATGAGTTACTGCACTATCGCGTTAATCATACATTTCTGATGAAGTGCACTAATCTATTAATATAAAAGCACAGAAAGTTACATATTTAGCTAAACTACCTGGATTTGCTCAGAGCCATATGCTTTTGAGCTGCTGCTGGTTTCCTGAAAAGCTTCATTGGTAATGCTGGATGACATAAACGTTCTTGGCAAAAACACACTTCTAACCAAAAGTCCATTCGGAATGCGCCTTAATGACAAACTGGACCTGAAAAACCAGCACCCCAGATCAATAAGGAGTTTCATAACAAACAAAAGCCTTAAAGCCCAGAAAATTTGCTGGATAAGAAATGCAAAACAAGTAAAAGCTGCT